TCTGATTCTTTTGAGTCAACTTTATCAGATAAGTAAATAAGATACTCTTCTAAATATTCATCTTCATATTCTTCACTTTCGTATTAATCTTCAGCTTCTTGAGTCACAACTTTAGCTGTTTTGGTGAAGGCAATGAGAATTTTTATGATAACTCCATCTTGTTTAATAATAAGGATAGATTGTTTCTAACTCATGGTAGCATTAGTTATTCTAAGCCAATCATTTCTGAGTATAAGGATCTTGTCTTTAGATTTGAGCACTTAAAAAAAGGTAGGTATATTAATTTTTTCAATCTTTACTGGTATGTTATCAATTATCCCGAAGAAACAAATTCTTGCAATATTTGCTGTTACTATCATTTTTGAGGGTTGACTTATTATTTATCCCAATTTTTCTACTAAGGCTTTGGTTATGATACTGGTAGTAGCTTCACTATCAATAATTGCAGGTTGAGCTTTTTGTCTAATCCTTAAAGTACACTTTGTGGCAGAGGTTGGTTTATCATTACTTTTCATTAAATTAGCTTCCTTAGTTTATCAGTAGCTCTTTCTCTTGAGCGTCTAACAGCTTGAGCTAAACTAGAATGATATTTAGAAATAGCATGTGTGGCCTGTTCCATTAATAATCTGCATGGTAAGTTTTATAAATAAGTAGAGACATTAAATTCAGTTAGTTGTTCGATAAAGGCAGGTAACAACCTTCTTTTAGAGGCTTTCAATACTTTTTTGATCCTAGCTGATTCAACTACAGGTTTTGGTATTAATTTTTCTATGTTTACTTCTTCAACAGTTATTTTAGTTTTAGGTGGATTTTGAAATCTTGCCAGTTCTCTTTTGTTATTTGACATAGCATTTCTTGGGTAGGGTCTAGATTTAGTATTTAAATAGACTTCATATTCATTTTCCTTATAATATTCCTCTGAAGTATATTTCTCATCATTGTATTTTTCTTCATAATATTAGTCAGCTAAATGTATATCTCTAGTATTATCATAACGAGGTTTTCTATCAGTTCTTTTTGGTTGTTAGTGAGGTTGAGAGTAACTTCTAATTATATGTCCTTCTCTGTTACAATTGTAGTAAGTCATGAAAGACATGTTTTGTTTAGGTTTTCTAGAAGCATCATTATAAGTTTACTCTATTTGTCTTCTTAGGAGTTGTTGGGATTGAGCTAATAAAGCAGTTGTCAAATTAGCATAGTTGATGAATAGTTGTTCTAATTTTTTTGTGAGCTCATTCACTTCAACATTGGTAACCACATTTTTAGGGGTAGAAATTGTGGTAATACTGATATCCTTAGGGGCTTTTCCAGAAGGAAATTATATCCAATTTTGATAATTTTGCAGAATTTACAGTAATATAAATCAGCTAGATTTTGTGAGTAGATTAATAAAGTGTAAGCAAGATTCAGTCCTATAAGAAATATCCTTTTCTTTTATGCATTATCGGTTAATTTTATATGAGTCACTAATTTCTCAAATTTATTAGCGTATAAATTTACAGATTCATTTATTTGTTATCGCAAAGAAGGCAGTTCTTAGTACCATTGATTTTTCTTAGTTTCGCTAATAAAATGAGCTTCAAATAAATCTACAAAGTTTTGATCACCATTAGATCCAGTGTTTCAATTATCTCCTATAATAGTGGTAATACTATCAAACCAGTCAACTGCTGCGCCCTTAAGGTATCCTCTAGCAAGAGTCTAATTTTGTGCTTCAGTGGTCCATTTATTAGTGATTGCAGCTCTTTCAAATGCAGTGAGCCACTTTACAGGGTCTTTATTTTCAGCTCTTGAGAAATAGTTGATTTTAATAGTAGATCTTTCTCTATTTTGAGTTTTGTGAAGCTATTCACTGATATCTATCAAGTGTTATCTATCATTTTCAAAAATTTCACAGAAGATAGCTTTCATTTCTTCTCCTATAGTCATTATTTCAGTTTCAACTAGGGGTGAATTAGAGAGTAAGGTTTTTAAGCTAGATGTAGAAGGTATTGAAGAAGCAACAAATCATTGTAATAATCATCAGTTTGCTATAGGCCTTACTAGATTCTGTTCTAAGATTTCAGTATATATTCTTGAAACAATAGATAAGGTAATATGTTGTTAAAAACAATTTGTCTGAAAGGATATGCCTTATATATACAAATATATTACGTCTGTTGAAAAAGGTCAAAAAGATATCGAATACTAGAAAGAAGCTGGTAGATAACTCTTATTAGGTGAATATTATGATATTTAGATTTGGGGTTATCATTAAGTTATTCAAATAGGTTAAAAGCAATGATAGTTCTTAAAGTAAAAGTATCTGATTGATATTCACTTCTAAATCAGTTCCAGAAATTTTTAAAACTATTAGAAAGAGTTTCGAATGTAGGGGATGGATTACATTAATTATAAGTATAATCTCAGTTAAGAGGTTTATCTAAATAATGCCTAACTATATGCTCTGATGTAGTTCTCTCAAGTTCCTTAAAATTCATTTTGCTAGTCCTTCAGCAGTTCGTTATGTATATCTTTAATAAAGATTCATCTGACAGGAATTACTATTTGTTAAGCCTAAACACTATATTATTAGAATAAAAAAGATTATTTGCTAACAGGAAGTTTAAGTTGTAAACTATAAAAGAAATAAATACGAATTTATTTAAGTTAAAGGGTCAGGTCGTCTTTATTGATAATTTATATTTTAAGGAAATAGATATTGACAAAGATATAGTTTTTATGTTGTTAAGATTATACTTTTATTAATTGTACAATTGAAACTTATTATTTTGTCAAGGTGACAATACAGGATATTAATATAAAATATAATTTTAATAAAGAGATAATAAATATAATAGTGAAAGTAAATATAACTATGATAATAAAAATAGTAAATAAAATAATGATAAACGTAATGATAAAGAAAATGAATATTACAACGATAACTGTAATAGCAATGAAATTAGTGAAAATGATGATCACGATTTTCTTAGTGATCATTGGTGACATTAATTAGCGCAGTCATTTAGTGATGTAAATGGTTATCACTAACACAGTATTATTTACTTTTAAATATGTATTATTAGTATTATTATTTATATGTTGTTTATTTTAAACTGACGCAACATTTCTTTATTTTGTTTGAAAATAGTAGAAATATTGAGTCTGTTAAATAGATCAGCATCCCAACATTTTTGCATTAGTTCTTTATATACTTTTGGAGTTTCCAGTATAATTTTAGTCTTATTCTACTTATTATTCTATATATAATATAATAATCATAGTTGATCGCATGAAATTTCTCACATAAGTATACCAATACTATAAATATCTGCTGCGTAAATATATTCTTTTTAACTAAAACTTTAGGTGCTAGATAAGGAATTTTTCCATAAATACTGCTTAAAGGTTTATTAACAGGACCACAAAATCTGAGATCACTAATATACTAATCAAAAGTTCTTGGTGAATATAGCATATTTCCATAATGTAAATCTCTATGGACTGCATGCTTATGATGAATTCTATTGAGTGCATTGATAATATGAAAAATAATTTCAATTTTATTTGTCTATGTAAGCTGATTATGATTTTATTGCAAATATATTCTTAAATCCATATTCATTTAGATCATTACAAGTATATGGGTTGATTGCTAGAAAAATCAGGTTCTGGAAATTTTTTAGCAAAATTGAGATTTTTATTGCATTTTAGTTTTTGATGTTATTAGATTAAAATGTATTAAGCTCTTAATTTTAGTCAAAAATTTCTCAAAACCTGATTTTCCTAGAAACCCTCCTATATAATCCTTATTTACTGTATTTTGTGTTAGACCAAAACATCCTATGATGTTTAACTACTTATTGCTTATGCATAAATGATTTGGCTTATATTTGAAACTTGTTAAACATCATTTACTTTATAATAAATAATAAAAATAATATCTACATACCTCATCAAACCATAATATATTAGCGCTTTTAATATTTTTTAATGTTTTAAGTATTATTTCATATGTACCAAATCTTTCTAATCTAATTTGTTTTTATTAGAATTCCATTCACCCTTCCATTTTGCTGTATAAATTTCAGAGCATCCACCTTTAGTTAAATAATCAACATTTTCAAAATTTTCGTATGGGATCCACTCAATTATCATGTTTGAAGCGAGGGATTCTTTTTGACATTCCTGTATTAAATGATTAATATCATCATTTTCAGATGTCCAAGTTGAAAATTTTACCTTTAAATAATTTCTAATACAATGCTCACAATATGAAGTGGCTAAACATTCCACTTGAAAATTTTCACAGGTTCTTTTTGTTCCTTGATTATAAACAATTTTATGATAATCCAATAGTCGATTTAATATTTTTATAGCAAGATTTTTTTCATTTTGTGTAAGAGTTGATTTTTCAATATATTGTATTCTAAATTGATTTCGCTTTTCTAGATCTTCTCGGCTATCAATTAATAATCTGCTTCACTAATTGTAACGTAAATTGATTTATTCATTTTGAAGATCAAAAAGTCCGGCCACCATTTTTTGGGCGCGGTCGTCACCTATAAATCAAATCACGCGCACATAAAAAAATCACGAGACCGACTCCACATGATTTTTGGCCGGCATGGCATATTATTTGAAGTCACGTGGATAAAGGCTGGTAATAGGAAGATATACTGTAGACATATTTTTAAATTTTTAATATTGTAGGACAACTGTCCAAAACCTATCTAAAATCGTCCAAAATGTTCCGTAGCCCTCTGTATCACATTTAACAAATAGCTTCCCGACCGACACTTAAAATTTTGTTACGAGAAACTAAAAATTCAATTCTATTTGCCCTGTCTAATACAAAGTTTAATATAATAATTTTTGCTTTAAAAATAATATGAAGTTGGAATTTTTACGGATATCAACTTTGAAAATTAGCCACACTAATTTAATTTTCGTATTCTCGCTGTATTCTCTACGATAATGAAAGCAGGACTTATAAAGACGGACTCTACTCTTCATCAATGAAACACATTAATGGAACTTATTGGAACTCATCAACGGAACTTATCAATGAAACTCATCATCAATGTAACACATCGATGGAACACGTAGATGGAATATGTAAATGGAAGCGATCTTCAATAGATTTTGTAATAAGAAAAATTTTAACATAAATATCAATAAATCAGTTTTTCATTCGTAATATTTTACATCATTTTTTTTTTTGATGTCAAAAATTCTTATAATACAGTATGTCTGATAATAATGAAAACATTCTTACGCATAATCAAGAAACTAATATATTAGTCAATATAAATATGAATATGATTGAATTCTCGTTCGTAGACAGACCATACAAAATATCAAACCATAATAATGATATTGGCACCGGATCTGATACGAATTCCCAAAACTCGGAATTCAGTAGGAACAAATCGAATTCAGAATTCCCAAGCCGAAGGTACACATCGAAGTCAGACTCGAAACTCAGAAGGTACACATCGAAGTCAGAATTCCTAAGCTCGAGATCCGGCAGGAACATATCTACGTCAAAATCTCGAAATCTATTATCCTCGAAACGTTTCCTGAATCTACTTGCATTAATGGTTGAAAAATTAAAACAAATTAAGAGGGCGCAGTAACGAAATTTGCGGAGAAGTAATTTATATATCACTTAAGATTATGTTGATTTAGGGTGTGATTATTTTTCAGGATTTTAAACAGCATCCATTGAACCATGTATGATAGTGAAACCCAAAGAGAAATAAGAGGAATACCAAATTAATTTCGCTTAATGGCAAAGAAATACTGGTTTGGCACGAAAGAACATCTTTTTGAACTAATAATTGTTTTTATTTGCTGATTTCTTATTAAAAAAAAGTTATCTTATAGACATTTCTTTCTATTTTTCTATATGCTGTATATCGATATTTAATTATTATTATATTTCTTATTGATTGTTCCATTTTGAATAAATTTACTTTTTTTTCTTTAACAATATGACATTTATACTTTGATATGGGAACGCAAGCAATTTTGATTTTATGATTGAAATCTAACCTGTTGAAAATCTGTTAGTAAAGATTATGTAAATTTTAATTGTCTTCCTCTTTCATAATAATAACAGATTTCATGATGTAAAAAATAAATCTTATTGAAGGAAGCTAATGTTTTTAATAAATTTCTTGCATAAATTCATCCAAAGTTATAGACATTTTTAATTATTCCGCAAGGAATAGTAAATACTAACCTCAGCTGTTAGTTTCAGAATATTTGGAGTATTTTCGCCCTTATTGAATAAAATTAATGATTCTTAAAAAAAAAAAATTTGCGCTTTTTTAGGGGACACCGTCCCACAAATAATTTATAAATATATCGAAAGAAACAATCGTGAACTTTATAAAAAGCTATCTTCATAACACAGAATGGAAATGATTCTTTTCATGCGTATGGCTCAGTAAATTTCATTCATTACTATCTCTGAAAAACAGATTTAGTAATTCTAGGCTTAGTTTCTAAACTTGAGAGACTGCTTGTTTTGTAGTCAAGGCGTAGTTAATATACCTAGTAGGTTCTCACCATACTTGTTACATCTGAGTGGCAACAAGTTCCATAATGTTACACGGCCTCGGGTTTCGTTATCCGTCTGTAATGTGTGACAGATTACGCCGTATATAGCAATTTATTATTTTTAGAAAATTTATGGCGCAGTAAACAATTAATTATAAAAATGAAACATATGCGTGCAAAATGCATACAATCGGCATAATTGTCACAAATAATCTGTTGAATAATTATATTAACAGAATTGAAGAATTTAGATTCCAGAACCTTTTTATCTTAAGAATTATGATGAGTAAATACGAGTCGGATGCAAATAAATCAATTTACGATGCAATTAGTGAAGCAGATTCATTAATTGATAGTAATGATCTAGAAAAGCGACACCATTTGAGTATACAACATATTGAACAAAATATTTCTGCACCAAATGAAAAAAATCTTGCTATAAAAATATTAAATGGATGTTTGGATTATCATAAAATTGTTTATAATCAAGGAACAAAAAGAACCTGTGAAAATTGTCAAGTGGAATGTTTAGCCACTGCATATTGTGAGCATTGTATTCGAAATTATTTAAAGGCAAAATTTTCAACTTGGATATCTGAAAATGATGATATTGATCATTTAATACGGGAATGTCAAATAGAATCCCTCGCTCCAAACATGATAATTGAGTGGATCCCATACGAAAAGCTAGAAAATGTTTATTTAACTAAAGGTGGATGCTCTGAAATTTACACAGCAGATTGGAATGAAGGCCCTTATTATAAATGGAATGCTAATCAAATTAAATTAGTAAGATTTGGTGCGTATAAAGTAATACTTAAAACATTAAAAATATTAAAAGTGCTAATAGAAGGTGGTTTGATGAGGTATGAAGATATAATTTTCATTATTTATCAAGAAGTAAATCATATTTAATAAAATTTTTCTTTATAGGCCAAATCGCATTTACGTATAAGCAATAAGTGGTTTAATATAGTAAGATGTTTTGGTCTATCACAAAACACAGTAAATAAGGATTATATGCTTGTAATGATTCAAATGGATATGGATTTAGGAAAATATTTGCAACAAAATCATGATAATCTTACACGGAAAAATTTTTCATACTATCAATGCACTCATTAGAATTCATCAAGAAAAAGCGGTCCATAGAGATTTGCATTCCGGAAATATATTATATTCATCAAAAACATTTAATTGGTATTAGTGATCTCGGATTTTGTGGTCCTGTTAATAAACCTTTAGATAGTATTTATGGAAATCTTCCCTATATAACACCTGAAGTTTTAGTTAATAGAAAATATACTTACGCATCGGATATTTATAGTATTGGTATACTTATGTGGGAAATTTCATCCGACAACCACCTTATTCTTATTGTGATCATGATTATTATCTTGTATTGAGAATATTAAGCCGAATGAGACCAAAACTTATACAGAAAACTCCAAAAGTATATCAAGAGCTAATGCAAAAATGTTGGGATGCTGATCCATTAAAAAGACCCGACATTTCTACTGTTTCCAAACAAATTACTGAAATGTTACTTCAGTTTAAAAATGGACAACAATTAATTAATATCACTAATAATACATATTTACAAATAAATAATACGGGTCCGGGTCTTAGTTCATTAGCAAGTGCTTTTAGTAAAATTCATGTGTTTGAAACTTTACTCAAGGTAAGACATTTAATTCTTATTAGCTAAATTATAATCTTTATTATAAATCTTTTATTAACAGATGAACAAGAAGGTGATTATTTAAGAAATTTAATATTCCAAAAAAATACATTTAATTAATATCTTCTTTCCTTTAAAGATTATCAAAGTATGTAAATTGATAGTATCGGATTTAGTAAGTAATAATTTAAATATGAATAGTAAGTATATATTTAATATTAAAAATTTTATCATTTCTTATATTTTCGAATTAAAAGATATCATATCCGAACAAGACCAAGATGATTTAGAAATTAGTAAAAATTAATTTTATTAATTAATTTATTGATACAAATTAAAAATAATTTTATAGAAACTAGCAACGAAATAAAGGAACAATCCAAAAGAATATATTTAAATAATTTATCCGATAGTGATTGATTGATTAATTTATTATTATTAATAATTTTTTTGTTAAAAATAATCAAAAGCTTTTCGGATAATTTTGGTATGATTTTAGTTATATGCCATACTCTAGTTATATAATAAAACTTCAAATTGGCCTATTTTAAACCGACTATTATACTATGTAACTTTGGTTCTAATTTTATGCACATGACTGGAAACAATAAAAAATTTTGACCAAAATTTTAATTGGTTTTACGCAGAGATTTCTTTCTAATTTTATTACAAACTTTAAATTTGGTTCATTATAAAGCTTATATATGTAATTTCAATTCTTATGTAGAAGCGGGCCGACGCACTATGTTTTTTTATTAGCTGATGACTTTTAATCGAATCGTTAATCACATGTTATGTAATATCGGCAAAAGATTTACGTCGCCCCGGAGGAGTTCGTTGCCAAAACGCACAACTGCTTACAGATAAAAAAATGGTTATTTTGCTAAGTATTAATGGTTTAAGCATAAAATGTGACAGTTGCGCAAAAAAAAATCTTTGATCGTCAAAAATTTTTGCAATTGCGTAATTAAAAAAAATTACGAGAGGTTGGATGTCTTTTGACCACAATTTGACCTAGAAGAGCAAAACATTTATCCAAAAATGTACAATCACAAAACATTCGGCTTTAAACGACCTTGTCTTTAATATCAAGGCAAGATGAAAGCAAAACACCTTTTATTGGAGTTTATTATTTGTAATTATGTGAACGTTTCCAGTAAAATCAAGTCATGAGATATAGTAAATCATATGAATTCGTGATGTGATTTTACTTTCACCTAAAATTGCAATCGATTATGTTATGTTTAAAGTGCAAATTATTTGAGGAATACAAATCCTATCAAGTAAATCTTACAAATAAACAAAGTTTTAGGATTTAACGCCACTTCTTATAAACTTAAATGGTATGAAAAAAGGCCAAAACGATCATCGATATGTATAAAAGTTGTATCAGCTTATAAACTTCGTCATTTTGTCATCCTGCCTGGCTTCCTAATTACCTGTCAAAATGATCTACTAACTGCAAATATCGAAAAACAATAGCGAAATTATCGTGTCCCTGGACGGGAATTAATATTTAACCTGATTAAAATTAATTCTGCGACTTGTCCAAATTAAGCATGTGTTAATAAATTCTGATTGGTTCAAAGAATAATGATATTTTTATCTATATATAGGAGGAGGTGGGATTTACAAAATTTTTCCTTCCAAAAGACTTTCTTTCAAAATTTATTGAATAAAAATGTCGGCACAATTTTTTTCAAAATTAAGTCAAGATTATATTGAAATATTAGATGACGATGAATATTATGATATTACAATCGAAACAGGGGAAGACCCAAGCGTCAAAATATTTCGTGCACATATGATTATATTGTGTTACCGTTCACCATTTTTTCGACGAACTTTGGCTACAAATAGAAAGAATAATGACAGCACCTTAACTCACATCAAGTTGCCAAATATTTTATCGGAAACCTTTCAAATTATTTTGAAGTAAGTTATGAATAAATACCAAGTTTATTGATTTTTTATATTCTAAATTTTTTTAGATATTTATAATATAGATATATTTATGGCGGAATCATTTCATTAGATGAGTATGAAACCTCGGAAATTTTTGATGTTTTGATTGCGGCTAATGAGCTTCTTCTTCAAGAACTTGTTGAACATTTACAAATATATTTAATCAAAAACAAATCCGAATGGATAGAACAACATTTTGAACGAGCTTATTCAAAAAGTCTTCAATCTAATTCTTTATATGAACTTCAACAATTTTGTATAGAACTTATGGCAACATCACCCGAAAAAACATTGGGGTCACTTG